TGCTACCTTTCTATAACATCAAGAAATGGTTAGATATTCTAGTCTTCTCGGATAGGGACGAATAAATGGAGGTCCCGTCTCCTGCAGGGTTAGGGGTAGGAGACGTTAATTTCCCACGCATGAGATTACTGTGTGATGGATGTCCTCCCCTGGGCTGGGATGGGTGGGTTTACTGGGCCCGCAGTAATTGGCGCCAGCTGTTGCGGTGTCCCTGCCTGTCGGCGAAGCTAATAAACTAAACTAAACTAAACTAAACTGTTGAAGCCTTATGTAACAACCAGAAATCTGAGATCCTCCTCTAAAATCTTACTTAAAGTACCATCTGTTAAGCTAGCAAGTTATGGGCATAGGTGTTTCTCTTTTGTAGCCCCGACTCTATGGAACTCTCTTCCAAACAACATAAGAGTGAGCGGCTCGCTATCACATTTTAAGACCTGTATAAAGACATACCTTTTTAACAAATTTTATAATTAGACTACTGCTTAGTGAGTTATTTATTCATTTACGTAGTAAGTTAGGCCGCTAGACAGTTAGCTAGTAAATTAGCTCATTAGTTGGCGAGCTAGTTAATTGGCTAGGAAATTAGTTAATTTCAATACAAGTTTAAAGTTTTTACTCTCATTATTACAGACTACCTTATTAGCTAGTTTCTTCTACTCATGTTTCAGAGATTTTTATGGTTTTTATAATCTTATCGGTCCGATTTTTTAAAATTACTGTGCAGCGCTATTGGATAGTGATAGAAATAGCACTATATAAATACCATACTATTATTATTATTGTTATTATTATTATTATTATTATTATTATTATTTATGATACTCCTACCATTTCTTAATTGCGCATGAGCAGTTGCTTTGAGAACCAAATAGTTACGTAGCAATATAAAAACAAATATTTGAAGATATAGATGCATGAGATACGACACATGGTTGCAGTTACAATTTAATTTGAGAATATTGCTCTGAAATTCCGTTTAATTTTTTTCAGAGAATGTGTAAAATTTAAGTTCTGAATTATAGTTGGGGTAATTATATTTTAGTAACACATTTGTATCTTGATTTAATTTTTTTACAGTGGTTAATGTTCAAAGAAATAATCATTCAAACACAGTGGAATTGTGCAAACAAACCCTAGAAAAGAAAACAGAAATTGTTTTTTGTTTAATCAACTACCCTGATACCATGGCCACATAGATAGGGACTTAAAACACTTTCAGATGTAAACGATTACAATTCGACTTTTTTTTGTAGACTCTGACTGGCTCGTTCACTCGAAAGTTACACGTCTAGACCTAATCCGTAGATTTCATCGGTTGTCCTAAAGTTATTGTTCCATTTTGTTCCAGTACACGTTGGGCTAAGATACCATAGAGTTTTTCTCGGGAAGAACACTGCCGTTAATTTTTGTGGTGAAGTCAAAATGGGTGTTGGAGTAAAACTTTTACTCTTGTTCAGATTATTTCTTGAAGTTGGTAAGTCATAGATATTTATTCCTATTTAATGGGGAGCAGCTTCCCTGTCTTCTGGGAGTGACAGATAAAATTAGTTATAATTTATCATCTATCAAATAAACTAGTAATGATAATGGCATGATTCGGAGGCTACCCAGAATCTCTATTTCCTTCTTCAAAACTCATTAAAAAAGTAAGAGATAAAATGACTTTATTCTCGGGGCAGTCACGAAGCTTCACCTCCTTCCTATTTTATCGAGGCTGTTTTAATATTCTAGGGCCACTTCTTTCGTTGACTTAGTTCGAAAACCTGATCTATCCACGGCCGGATCTGCGTTGAATGTAAATGTGCGCCAAGATGGCTGCCACGTTGTACCGAGTTCCGAAATAGTTATTACTTCTGCTGTTTCTGGCTGAGATCTGTGATCTGTGGTCGTGATAGTAGCTGTCTTCCCCCTAATAACGTCAAGTTAATGTTGAAGGATTTTCAGCATATTAGCTTGCGTGATTTTGGCTATTTATCTCGGATTGTTCACCAGGCGGTTTCATCGATGAAGAAATTACCACGCCAGTCGGTTTCTGTGTGGCACAAGCATGGCCACATTTGCCTTTTTATGAGGAAAAAGGACATTACCGTTGATATGGATATCGAGAAAAACCCTGGCCCCGCTCTTGTGTCTGATTTTGGCCATTCAAGTTTTGTGGATAGTCGCATCGTGAATTTTAACTGTCATCTTGAATCCTCGCCATTGTCCTTGGCTTCGCTCCTTCACTATGCAAATTTGCAACAACGTTTTGTTTATTCAAGGAACGAATTATTATCTATTTGTTTTGAATCTACTTGATGGAAGTTATCTCCACGACTTCTAAATCATTTGAAAGTGAATTCATTATTGAGGTACCGTGGAAACCGAGCTGGAAAGTCTAAAGAGCTACGGAGTAATGGTAGAGTGATATTAGTTCTTAATCGACCGCGTCATTTGGTAACTCTCCGGCGTGCTAGGATGCGGACTCTAACATCTCTCATTCACTGTGACTCTTCAAAGCTCCCTATACTTTCTCCTTCGAAACCTACTACAGCTAGACTTGCTCTTTTTAATGCGCGATCTGTGAGAAACAAAAGGTTGCTGATAAAGGATTATGTCGTTGACAATGATGTGGACACTGTTTTCCTTTCACTGAGACGTGGCTTCATTCTGATAATCGGGACGATCAAGTTATTGGGGATTTAATTCCGATCGGATATTCCTTCCACCATGTACCCAGAAAACTTCGAAATGGCGGTGGTGTGGGTATTCTAGTCAAGAATGGATTTCGTGTGAAGCAGTCAACTGAAATGAATCGTTGTTTTGTTTCTTTTGAATTTATTGACCTGTTAATCAAGTCTGAATCCTGTCGCGACATCCGTGTTCTGGTAATTTATCGCCCGCCCTCTTGCAACTTTTCATTGTTTCTTGATGAGTTTGGCTGTCTTTTGGAGCAATATATTACCGATCTATTCTTCACTTCTTGTTGCTGGTGATTTTAATTACCACAGTGATGATGCTTGTGATAAACCTTTAGCTGATCTCTGCAATCTTCTTGGCTCATTTAACTTAAAGCAACATGTGGACAAACCATCACATAGTGCTGGTCATATTTTAGATCTTTTAATCGCGAGAGAAGAACCCCTGGTATTTAATATTTCAGTTTGTGATCCTGTCCTATCTGATCATTTTGTTGTTCACTGTGACATTTTGATAACTAAAGCCAGCTGCGAGAGGAAAGAAATTGAAAGCTGAAGACTATTGACACAGAGATGATTTGTGATGAACTATTCAATTCTTCCCTTTTATTGCATCCATTAGAAGATCTTCATCAGTTGGTTGCTCTCTGCAATTCTGTATTGGCCGCTATTCTGGATAAACATGCTCCAGTCAGATGGCGTGTTATGACCATTCGCCCTACCGCTCCTTGGTATACTGAAGAGATAAAAAGTGAAAAGAGGATTCGAAGGAGACTTGAGAGGCGATGGCGTGTGACTCAGTCAGCCTCTGATCGTCAGAAATTTATTCGACAGTGTCACGCTGTAAACAACATGTTGTTGTCATCTAGATTGGATTATTATTCTACATTAATTGCTGAAAACCGACATGATTTGAGGAAATTGTTTTCAACTTTTTCGAAACTTGATCAGAGCTCAGAAACAAGGTTTCCGCAACATGATAGCGTCACATCATTAGTACATGATTTTATTACATTCTTTGCCAATAAAATCAGGAAAATTCGTGATGATCTTTATCGATCTATACTGGACAACTGTCTTGAGTTCAA